GGAAGAACGAATAAGAGGGGAATATCTACCTGTAGATAGGTGTATGGTTGTCTGTCGTTGCCTGTGACCGAGCACGCGAAACTGCGGTAGTTCCACCTCGTTCGAGATGCCGACCGACTGTAGGCCGGAGTTCCATTTGTACCGAATATCGCGCATTGTGTATCCAACTGCCGGGAGAACAAGAACACAAATATCTTCGCTCTAACATACAATAATTAGACACTGAGGTAGTGTTCAGTTTGGAATGGAAGGGCGGGTTCCTCGGGGAATACAGTAATTGAAGCAAACTTATTGCGCGAGCATCTAAAGCGGTTCCCGTTGCATCATGATTCAATTCCGTCGCATAAATTTCTTTTCACGTGGAATCGATTTAGGATGCCCTTCGTGCCATCATATCATAAACGTCATCGAGATAGGCATTGTGATATCTTAACATAGTCATTCAGTGATTTTTCAAAAGTTCGAAAAGAGTACTCTAAAATTTTTCCATAAAACTAATATCAAAGAGAAGAGCTGTTGTGAATTCTGAATCTCTTCTTAAAGTTTAAATTTATGGTGTAAGTATATATAGAGACAGTTTTATCTTGTATGAGTTTTGGCTTTTGATACTTTATTTATATAAAAAGAATTTGGAATATTTTGCATTGATTCATTTTTATTGATTGACATCTTTATTGATTGATTCTTTAATTATAAAATAATGCCTTCTGAAGCGTCTCTGATGTTTTCAAAACCGAATTTACGGTCATTACATCCAAGGCCACGCGGAAATTAACATCAATCAATGATATTCTTCTTTGCATTGTGAGATAAAGATTCTTTCTCTGTGAGATAAATGCAGCGTGCTGATCTTGGCGATTCGTCTATTGTTCATTCCTACTAATCCAAAGTATCCTGCGATCGAGTTTTGGCGATTATCGATCATAATTTGCGCTTATTTGTTCTCTAATTTCTCCGCGCGGCCTCCAGCACGTACATACCACATCGAGAAACATTCCTCCGTAACTGAATCTTAGGTGATTACGATCGTTACACCGCATTCCAGGCACCAAAGTGGCATTCCGTCGCGGTGGTGGCTACATTGCGCGAGCATCGGCCAAACATGGATTAAGCGGTACGCCTCCGAATGTGCCAGATTAATTGCTTTTGTTTTTGGAATCCGATTTTGAATACCATCTCGTTTGCATCATATTCGGTACGCCGCGATTCTGCAGTGGACACAGTTGCATGCGGCGTCGCGCAAAATCATGATTTCGGTAATGACATTATGATTCGCAACAGGCGTGTTCAACACTAACGATTCGAAACTCTAGAAATACCAAGTTTTGTTTATTCGTAGTATCTAATATAAAAATTTATATATATTTGTTACATTAATAAGAGAATAGTGAAGCTGTTTTACACACATTGTCTTAGATATATTTTATACAATATTTAACTTCTTTTTTCACGTTTAATTGCATTTCTTATTATAAATATTCATTATATGCAAATAAATTAAAAAATTTATATAATTAAGAAATTACATTCGCGAGCAAGAATGATCACGTCTAAAAAAATATTTATGAAAATATTACGTGCATTTATTCGTTCATTCGTTCGTTATTTTTGCCGATGATCGTCGCATAATTGAGTGCAGCGCAGATAAAAATTGATTTTACAAAGTTTTAATAAAGAGGTCCTGGGGCAACATTAAGCATCACGAGGGGTAAAAAGGTCAGAAGAGAAGAACGAGAGGAAGATCGTGATAGTGGCTGTTGAATACTGCAGGGAGAAGGACACGGCAACATTAGCAAAATACCGAGGACTATGGTAGTGGCAGCAAGTTTAAGGGTTTAAGGCGAAAAGTGGAGAGTGTATAAGTAGATATGGAGAAAAAAGCAGAAAGAAAAAATAGAGTTTTGTGCTCGACATGCTACAGTGACACATACAGGCTCGGGAGGATTAGGTTTACATGTTTAAATTTACATAAATATATATATATATA